AAGTAGGAATTTTCAGAAAAATTGCATTGTATGTATATTTCATTAAAGATATATTTCTAAAGATTTGACATGAAAAAATACATATATACAAACACTAATGCGTTCAAGCTGTTTTTGTGCACATGGTTTATGTATCTATTTATATGTATTTCTTGTATAGTGTGTGAGTGAGTGTGTGTGTGTGTGTGTGTGTGTGTGTGTGTGTGTTGTGTTGTGTGTTAGTCATATACCCATCGTATACAAAATCAACTGTTTACATTCTCTCTCTCTCTCTCTCTCTCTCTCTCTCTCTCTCTCTCTCTCTCTCTCTCTCTCTCTCTCTCTCTCTCTCTCTCTCTCTCTCTCTCTCTCTCTCTCTCTCTCTCTCTCTCTCTCTTTCAACATAGCACAACGAATCCATTTAGACGTTTTACAAATATATCAAAACATACTTGTAGTTAGAACGTCAGAAATAAAGCTACTTTATAGGTCACACAAAACAGACAAATCCTTTGTTATATATGTAACGACATCATGCAGCCGTCTTGGTCTCAGCGGGACACCCTGGAGGTGACGTGACCTGGCCTGACCTGGTCGGCTTCGAGGATACTCTAGAGGTCGAAGGAGCGCGAGAGGAGCTGCTTCCATCATCTCTGCACGCAGAGGGCTTGGCGGGCGGCGGCGGGAACGGGCGTCGCGGAAGGCCTCGCGCCCGCCACGGCGCGCGCGGCGGGCGGCGACGACGGATCGCACAAGGTCTGGGGGCGAGGCGGCCTCAGGGAGCACCTCGGGGCGGCCCACGAGGCGAAGAGGAAGGCCGCCGCCAGCAGGTACAGGTGGAGGAGCGAGGAGGGCGGGGGGGCGCCGCTCGTGGTGTCTGCGGCGGCCGTGGTCGGGAGAGAGTCGTGCTGCATCGCCGCCGAGTTCTCACCTGCGGGCGGAGAGGGCGCCGAGGGCCAGCGCGGGATTAGAGACAGGTCCTGGTCAGAGGGATAGCAGTCACACTTACCTCATTGGGATGAACGTGGCCTAGATGGCCGCCTGATGTTCGCTTTATGTCTACTTTGTACACCTTTGGAAATACGCCAAATCATGCAGCTCTGCTACATACCCTTTCATACATCAACACATACTCTTTCTTTATTTTCATATTTTCCCTTTTTCCTCTACTCTACCAGCATCAATGAATCACTTCCCTTCCCCGAGTACAAGGCGAGTGGAAGAACTAGGTCTCATATCTACAGGCGTTTTCCAATAGTGTCCAGAGTCTATTTATAACTCGTATCCAATATCCTCTGCAAATATAAATGCGAGATTGGAGTCCGAAATCATTCCATCTCTTAAATTATACCTACAAATACTCGTCTTCCGGCGACACTTTTAAACTGGTTATATCAAACAGCTGAAAGCGATCAAAACGAAAGCTAAAGATTGAAATTAATTTATCTCACGTGTTTTTTCATTTATCCTGTTTTTTCTCTCTTTTTTCTTTCCTTTAACATCAATATTACTGACATTAACATTAGCGATATCGTGATGAGAACAATAATGATTCTCGTGAAATACATCGGGTGCTGATGCAAAGATAGTTGCAATTTACACACAAAAAGACTTTTAGGGAACATATTTACCATTGTTATGTTTATCATAGCATCGACATTGTTATTGTTAAGCAACATCGTTATTATTTACTATCATACTATCTTATTTTTTTTTTAGTAGTTGTAGTATCGTTATTATTGTTATTACTATTATCATCACCATCATTTTTATCATCCTCGTATCATTCTCGTCATTATCATTATTATCATCATCATTATTATCAAAACTAGTATCATTGTCAATATTAATAATAGTATTATTATCATTCTTATCATTGTTATTATTAATAATTTTATCATCATCATTGCTATTATCATTATTATTATTATTATCATTATCATTATTATTATCATTATCATCATTACCATTAATGTCATAATTATTTAATTATGACACAATTATTAATAGTTATTATTATTATCACTATCATTATTGTTTTTTACTATCATTATCATGATGATGAATGTCATTATCATCTTATTATCAATATCATTATTATTATCATTATTATTATTATTATTATTATTATTATTGATTATTATTATTATTATAATTATTATCATTATTATTATCAATATTACCGTTATTACTATTATTATTATCAGCATTATTATTATTATAATCAAAATTCTTATTATTATCATTATCATTACAATTAATATTACTACTATTATTAATGTTGTTCTTACCATTTTTATTACCATTATTATCATTAACTTTATCGTCTTATTTCTTTCCTTTTTGTTATAACTATTATCATTACCATTATCATCACTATCATTATCTTTATTATCATTAGCCATATACCTATACATATTATATCAATGTTATCATGAATGTTGTTGCCGTTATTTTTCCATCTATCCTTAATCTCTCTTAAATATGATCATTATTACTACTATCAAAATACTCCCATCATTATAAAGTTACTTCAGTCATTATCAATATTTATCATTTTCATCACTGATACAATCAGTTATTAGTGTCATTGCATTTCAATGGCTCATATCAAAATCAATCATTATCAATCATTCATCACAGTCATCATCATCATCATCATTTCATCATCATCATTCATCATCAATGATGATGATCATCATCATCATCAATCATCATCAATCATCATCAATCATCATCAATCATCACCATCAATTCATCATCACCAATCATCTTCATCATCATCATCAATCATCATCATCAATCATCAATCATCATAAATCATCATCAATCATCATCATCATAAATCATCATCAATCATCATCATCATCATAAATCATCATCAATCATCATCATCGTCATCATCATCAACATCCCATCAATTCATCATCATCATCAAACATCATCATCAATCATTCATCATCATCATCATCAGTCAATCACCCATCAATCATCATCATTGAACCATCATCATCATCAATCATCAATCAATTATTATCATCAATCAATCCATCAATTCAGCAGTACTCATCATCAAGCATCATCACCATCAATTATCAATCATCATCAATTTCTATCATCATCATCATCATCATCGTCAATCATCACCATCATCATCAATCATCATCATCATTATCAATCATCATCATCATCATCAATGATTATCATCATCAATCATCATCTTCAATCACCATCATCATTATCAATCATCATCATCAATTACCAATTTCAACATCAATCATCATCATCAATCATCATCAATTATCACATCAGATCAATCATCATCAATCAATCATTATTATCAAATCAATCATCATCATCATCATCATATCATCAATCACATCATCACTCATCAGCAGCAGTCATGTCATCATAATCAATTATTCATCATCATCAACCATTATCATCAATCATTATCATATCAATCATCAATCAATCATCAATCATTTTCAATCATTATCATCATCATCATCATCAGCAGCAATATATCATCATCAATTCATCATCATACCATCAATCATCATCATCATCATCATCATCATCGCTCATCATCAATCATCATCATCATCAATCATCGTCACCATCTCATCATCAACATTCATCAATCCATCATCAACATCATCATCATCATCATCAATCATCATCATCATCATCAATCATCATCATCATCACATCATCATCATCAATCATCATCATCATCATCAATCATCATCAATCATCATCAATTCATCCATCATCATCATCATCATCATTAATTATTAAATCATCAATTATCAATCATTGTCATCATCATCAATCATCTCATCATCATCATTCATCATCATTACATCATCATCATCAATCAATCATCATCATCATCACCATTCATTCATCATCATTAATCATCAATTCATCATCATCAATCATCATTTCATCAATTATCATCAATCATCATCATCATATCATTCATTCATCATCAATCATCATCATCATCACATCATCAATCATCATCATCATCATCATGCCCCATCATCACCAATTATCATCATCATCATCATCATCATCATCATCATCATTAATCATCAATCATCAATCATTCAATCATTCATTGTCATCATCATCAATCATCATCATCATCATCCTTTTCAATCATCATCATCATCAACCATCATTATCAATCATTATCATTATCAATCATCATCAGCATCATCAATCATCATCATCCATCCATCATTATCATCATCACCATTACCATTATTATTGCTGTTAATGTTGTTGCCATTCCTGTCATTGCTAACACTATCATTTTTACTATCAACTTTATTATCGTTATTATGATCACTATCAATGTCATTAATTATGCTCTCTAATTACTAATACTATGATCATTATCAATATAATTAATTATGTTCTATTACTAATACTATAATGATTATCATATCATTAATTATGCTCTATTACTAATACTATGATCATTATCAATATCATAATTAAATTACTTATCAATATATTAATTATGCTCTATTACTACTTACATTATCAATATCATTAATTATTGATCATGCTCTATTACTAATACTATGATCATTATCAATATCATTACTTGTATTGTCATTACTGATTCTACAACCATTATCATTACTGTTATCACCAGGATCATCTCCACCATTACCACTTTCATTAGCATCATTGCTATCATTAGCATCACTCATATGACAATCGCCCTTATTAGCACTCGCATTAGTATTACCAAGGTTATCCTATTTGCAATTATCATCGCCATTGTTGCTCTCCCCCGGAAACATACTTAATCATGCTTTGCTCATTGCAACTCCCGCTGAAAAGTTTTGTCATTATTTTTCGGAACAAGATTAAACCCTTTTCTTGATTTCCGCATGGAACTAATTAAAGTTAATTAACCTGTTAGGATTAATTATCACTTTTATCCTCCCCGTTTTCTTCTCCCTCGCCTGCAGAAGCGCATAAATGTTAATTCTATTACTTTAAATCTCTTTGGCAAAGAGATGTGGTGTCAAATAAGCATCGTACATCGGCATGCAACCGCCGCTCTCAGCTCCCCGAAATGTCGGACGAACCAACTTTGTATCGTTCGGAAAGTGTGGTTCGGGCGCGTTTCTAAATAATCGTTTTCTACATTTCTGGAATTCTGTAGTTCAGTGAATATAAGCATCCTGAATTCTGTAAGCAAAAGACCTTTTGATGCCATCATCTATGCTCTTAAGTGAATGAGTTTCGTGTACTCGCCCAACCCTTTGCCACGACGATACATCTATCCGTGGCAGTTCCTGTCGTTATCAACCCCTTGAGAAAAAATAAAAAATGATAAGGAAAACCAACTATTAATAACGCTTTGTAATAAAAAAATACTAATGAGAACATCTTGTTTACAAATGTAAGTACTATAAGAAACTTCGCCTTGCACAGCGAACGTAGATTATTAGTAGCCACCTGTTGCTGTAGATGTTACAGCATCAGGTGGAAGTTTTATCACCACCTGTTACATCTTTGGATTGAAACGCGTGGTTCCATCTGTTCATAAAAGTTCTACCACTTGTAAGCTACCTTCTAGAGGTTCGAGGCGGCCACACACTCACCGGCTATGACATGGACGGAGACTGTGTCGCTGGTGTAGTTCCCGTACCAGCAGGAGTACAGCCCGGAGTCGGCCGGGGAGGCGTCGGCCACGTACAGGCGGCTCCTGATGTAGCCGGAGGCGGCGTCGCCCTTCACGCTGGCACGGGAGAGAGGCGCTGTGAATGTCTGAGATGCAACGGGAATCTTCGTCTAAATCTGCCTTAGGCTAATGCATTCCGTGACGCACGAGGCACGGCGTAACGTAGCCTCGCCGTCAATATATAATGCGCTAATATGCTAAGCAGCTCCACACATTGAGGGCCATAACCGTATCGGCGAGAGGCGCTCCATCAGGGCATATTGAGCCGCCATGACTTCCGCGATGAAGCACGCAGAGGCGCCGCCGCCGCGTAACTCACCTGATGCCGCCGCGGGAGGTGTTGAAGGAGAGCAGCGTCGCGCCGCGCCGCCACGACACCGCCGCCGGGGGGAACGGCACGCTCTCGATCTCGCACTTGAGCTCGATCATGCTGCCGCTGTTGTAGTGCTTCTCGTGCACTTTGGTGCCCCGCTCGTCCACCACGCGGGCCCGGGGCTCTGGGGGTGGGGGGGGGAGGCTTTAAGGAAGGTGCGTCGGGCTGTTGCTTGCGGGGCTGAAGCTAACCATTGAAGGGAAACCGACACTAGATTAGCTTAGAGAAAAAAATCAATATCTGACACTGCACCACTAATTCTTGGCTCCTCCAAGAATAATGTAAGACAGGGCGGGAAAAGCAGCTTCTTCACTGACTATTTTGTATTTGATATTATAAAGTATCTTTTTTTCTCGTCGTAACAAAGGCCTTTAACCAAAGACCAAACTAGAACTGAAACTAAATGTTTATAACCTTTCTCCTGTCTTGAACTCACACTCCTCGAAATATATTTTAGAC